CCGCTCGGGGAGGTGACAGCGCCCCGGGACGGCACACAGGCCGCCCTTCACTGCGGGGCGCCGGCAGGCAGCAACGAGGGCAGCCCTGTGAAGGCGAGGAGGAGGGTGCAAACTAGGGGAAGCCGCCGCCGCTGAAGCTGAGACCGTGGGTTCGGTCGGCGTCCTCCTCCTGCAGCTCAGCGGCGGGCCCTTCGCAGGCAGCAGTAGATCGCGAATGTGCCCGGGCCTGCTGGGACCTCCTGCCATCCTGTGGCCAAAGAGGCTGCTTTGGAACTGTTAGGAAATGTATTTGGTGCACGTGTTTTCTATCTCCTAAACTTCATTCCTATTACTTCGCCACCCAAACCGCACACCCCCGGCCCCAGATGTGTGGGGCTCTTGTCTCCCGCGCAGCCGCTGGGCTGCTATAAATCTCCACGCCACAGCTCTCAGCCGAGAGTCAGCGCCAGGTCAGAAACCCGGGGAGGAGCAGGGAGTGTGGGCGGGGAATCAGAGTGAAGTTGGCACAAAAGTTCTTGCGATCCTGGACCAAGGAGCCCTGACACTTTGAACCCTGTCTCCCACCCCAGCTAACAGGAAGCACTCCAGTCTGAGTCCTGGGTAGGGACTGCGCCTCGGAGAGTAGCAGGGAGCTGGGTCCGAGCGCACACCTTCCGAGGTCCCCAGCAGTTTCCAAGGACGCTGTCGGCATAGTCAGTTTTTCTCCTAGCCGGAGTAGTTGGAAGCTAGTTCCAAACAACCCCACCCTACGACCCCACCCCCAAACGCGCCCTGTAATGCAGACCTGAAGCAAGCGCACACACGCACACACACACACACACACACACACACACACACACCCACAAGCTTGGTGGCTGGTTTTTCCACTGCGCTCTTTTTGCGCTTTGCATCCAACTGCATCCCTCTTTTCCTCTCTCCTCTCGCATTTTCCTTCTTTCTTCTCTTATTTGTGTCTTTCTCTCTTTTTTTTAAGAGCGGCGTGCGGTGCTGGGCGCTTGCACGTTGGCTGCGGCCCGCTTCCTGCTTTCTAATGTTCCATTGTGAGGAGCTTCCATTGTGACGTCGCGCCCCTTCGGCTGGGCTTTGTCTGTCCATATATGGGCAGCTACGTCACGGAGCGTTCCCGGGGCTCAGATAAATAGGCTGGTGGAGTTCCCTGGCTAGGAGCTTTTGGGCAGCAGTGAGCTTGCTAGGAAGCGGCGGGGCTGGTGGTGGTGGTAGCGGCGGCGGCAGCGGCGACAGAGGCGGCGGTGGCAGCAGCATCAGCGGCG